AAACTGACACACTGTCTCTTCCTTGCAGCTACATGTTGTCTCCCTGCAGCAACTGCTGCCGCAGGGTCCTAGTGCTCCCTATCTCCCTGCCAGGACAGACTGACTCTGAGCCTGCCCTTCCCCCTCAAACCCTTCCCTTTTCTGGCAGGACCCTCCCGCAGCACAGCTCCCCGCCCCCCAGTCACCGCTCCTGCCCCATGCTGGGCAAGGAGGCAGCCCCATCCCTCACCCCCCCAGTGAAGCTGCAGTTAGGGGCAAAACGCAGCACCCCCTGGCACCCACCACGGGGGAGACGAGGGAGATTCCTGGACCTGAGAGGGGCCCTAGGAGCACATGCAGTGACTGTGTGCTGCTGGGGGGGCAGGAAAGGGGGGCTCCTCCCCCAGAGCTTGCTGCTGACGGCAGGGAAAGGGCTGGGGGGAGTCCTCCCCTCTGGCCCCTGTCCTGGAGCAGCCTGCCTTCACCCCAAACTCATCTCCAGCCCCGCCCCACCCCAGAGCCCACACCCCCAGTCAGAGCTTTCACCCCCCACTGCACTCTCAACCCTCTGCCCGAGCCCCTCCCACACCCCAAACACCTTATCCCCAGTCCCAGCCAGAGCCCTCATCCTTCTGCACCCCAACCCTCTGCCCGAGCCCTGAGCCCCTCCCACACCCCAAACCCCTCATCTGCAGCCACACCCCACAGCCCTCAGCCCACACCCCTCACCCCTGCACCCCCTCCCTCTGCACCCCTTTCATCCCCAAACTCCCTCCCAGAGCCTGCACCCCAATCCCCTGCCCCAGCCTAGGGCCTGCACCCCAGACCTCCTCCCCCACCCAAACTCCCTCCCAGAGCCTTGGGCAGGTGGGGGGCGGAGTTTGGGGGGGCGGAGTTTGGACAGGGGTGGGTTCTGGGCACCACCAAAATTTCTACAAACATGCCACCCCTGCTGGCAATGAGTTCCACAGATTGATTGTGCACTGTATGAAGAAGTAGTTCCTTGTGTTTTTTTAAAACTTGCTGCCTATTAATTTCATTGGGTGACCCTTGATTCTTGTGTTATGTGAAGGGGTAAATAGCACTTCCTTATTCACTTTCTCCACACCAGTCATCAGGGCCGGCTTTAGGAAGTGCAGGGCCCGATTCGAATACCCGGCGGCGATCCGGGTTTTCGGCGGCACTTCGGCAGCGGGTCTTTCACTTGCGCCGGGTCTTCCGCGGCACCGAAGGACCCGCTGCCGAAGACCCGGAGCGAGTGAAGGACCCGCTGCCGAAGTGCCGCCGAAGATCTGGAGCGAGTGAAGGACCTGCCACCGAAGTGCCACCGAAGACCCGGACTGCTGCTGGGCAGTAGCGTAGCTAGCGGGGTGCAGAGGAAGCAGCTGCTTCCCCATAGCACACTTTGCAAAAGCGACGCCTTTGCAAAAGCGGCTGGAGGAGCGAGGGGGGGCGCAGGCTGGCTGTGGCCCTGCAGCCGCGGCCGGAGCGAGGAAGGGGGCACAGGCTGGCGGCCGAGCAGCCGCAGCCGGAGGAGCCATGGGGGGGGAGGGGCGGTGCGGCTGGAGGAGCCAGCCAAAGAGGGGGGTGTGGAGCGGCCGGAGGAGGAGCCGAGGGGCGTGGCCAGAGGAGGAGCCAAGGGGGGCGCCTTTTTTAGGTTTGCTCCCCCTCCTCTTAAAAGCTGGCTACGCCACTGCTGCTGGGTGAGTAAAAATTAAAAAGGCGCCTATGTTAGGCGCTCTTCTTTAGGGCGCGGGGCCCTCTTAGGCGCAGGCGCGGGGGCCCTCTTAGGCGCGGGGCCCGATTCGGGGGAATTGGCCTAAAGCCGGCCCTGCCAGTCATGATTTTATAGGCCTCTATCTTAACTCCCCTCAGTCATCTCTTTTCCTAGCTGAAAAGTCCCAGTCTTTTTAATCTCCCCTCATATAGAAGTGGTTCCATACCCCTTATCATTTTTAGATTTAGTAGATCTGAGCTCAGAGTGGTAGCCGTGTTAGTGTGTATCAGCAAAAAGAACGAGAAGTACTTGTGGCACCTTAGAGACTAACAAATTTATTTGAGCATAAGTTTTAGCTATAAGTTTATAGCCCACGAAAGCTTATGCTCAAATAAATTTGTTAGTATCCAAGGTGCCACAAGTACTCCTCGTTCTTTTAGATCTGAGCTGTATTTCTGGCTCTGTTGCCTGGTCCTGTGTGACATTGGGGGAGGGATAGCTCAGTGGTTTGAGCATTGGCCTGCTAAACCCAGGGTTGTGAGTTCAATCCTTGAGGGGGCCACTTAGGGATCTGGGGCAAAATCAGTACTTGGCCCTGCTAGTGAAGGCAGGGGGCTGGACTTGATGGCCTTTCAAGGTCCCTTCCAGTTCTAGGAGATGGGATATCTCCATTAATTAATTAATTGGGCCAGTCATTTCACCTCTCTGTGCTCATTTTCCTTCTCAACCTTTGTCTGTGTGACGTTATTGACATAAACTGGGACCATATAGATCATTGTTGCAACCAAGGTCCTGTAGTGGCACCCAAATCTTGTATAAAGGGGGTCAAATGGGGTGTCTAAGACAAAACCGCATTGTCACAGTCTGTCACATATTTGTCATTGTAAGCTCTTTGAGGCAGGCCTGTCACTTGCTATGTGTTTTTACAGTGTCTAATACAATGGGGTCCTGATCTCCCAAATCTTAAACAATACTAATAACAAAAGGGTGTGGAGTTCTACCTCACTAGAGAATTCATTTCCTCCTGTTACTAGGTATCTTGTTTTATAAAATTTCCTTTGAGTGCCTGATTGACTCTCATGAATGTAGAAAGTCCATAATGCTTTAGAAAAATCAATGATACTAAGAAAAAATGGGGGTTCATCCCTCTTAATTCCCATTTATGTCTCATAGACTCATAGACTTAAAGGTCAGAAGGGACCATTATGGTCATCTAGTCTGACCTCCCGCATGATGCAGGCCACAAAAGCTGACCCACCCACTTTCCCTTAACTCAGCTGTTGAAGTCTCCAGATCGCGATTTAAAGACTTCAAGTCGCAGAGAATCCTCCAGCTTGCGACCCCTGCCCAATGCTGCGGAGGAAGGCGAAAAACCTTCAGGGCCTCTGCCAATCTACCCTGGAGGAAAATTCCTTCCCGACCCCAAATATAGCGATCAGTAGAACCCCGAGCATACAGGCAAGATTCTCTAGCCAGACCCACATTTTACCAAATGTCTCCAAAGCTCCTCCCTCAAAATTAAAAACACTCTGAAAGGACACTCCTTTTGCATAGTTTCTAAATTGGTTCTATAGTTATTTTTTTTAAATAAATAAATAAAACAATTTGAGGCCCAAATTTGCTTAATAAATCCTTTTTAACATTAAGTGGTGATGTAGTAGTGAAGGTAGTCCTGGAGAGTTACCATAATGTGGTTTTCTTTTCTTTTACTTTGCAACCAGAGTTTATACTATTATTAATCAATTACATTACAATAATGCCAAAGCCCCAATCAAGAGTGATACAGTCACAGATACTCTCAAATACTGTGAATATTTTTATAGTTATATATTTGTAAAACGTCATTGATATGAAGAGTTACCACCCATTTCAAACGCTATATGATACACTTTTTATTCCGTGGGTCAGAAGGCCCTGAAATACTACAAAGCTGGTTTACAAGGCACTAAGTAGGGCAAACTAAATAAATTTCAGGTGTAGGGGAAAAGATCCCTTATGTGTAAAGTTTGACTGCTGTATACAAGACAAAGTACAAAATTGGGTGAAAACCTTAGAAAGTGGATACTCATCCTGAAACATTCAGAAATATGGTGATGTTCACAGGTGTACCCACAATTATCATTTCAAAAGCACTGATAATGTGCTTGAGCCTCTGTCAGGCTCAGGGGCCTAAACTTTCAAAAGGAATTAGTGATTTTTATGTGTCTGACTTGAGATGCCTTATAAGGGCCTGATTTTCAGAAAGTGCTGAGCACCTGCTCTCTAGAAATGAGGTCCCTTTGAGGCATCCCAGCCGGACACACAAAAATAGAGGCAAAGCAAAATCCAGTGTTGCCAACTCTTGTGATTTTAGTGCGAGTCTTGGGATATTTGCTGCTCTTCTTAAAGCCCGAGCTCCTGTATGCATCTCAGTTTTCACTAAAATAAAAAAATTTTTTTTAGCCCTCATGGATGTGGGGGAAAAAATTAAAGCCATGAGCCAAGTGTGCCATACAGGCTCTGAAAGCAAGAGGCAAATAAAAATAACCTCAACCGTTAAAGATTTTTTTAAAAAATGTTATGATTTTGGGGACATGATTTCTTGAACACCTGGAATTGCTAGCCACTGAAAATCATTGGTGACTTGTCAACTCTGGCCAGAATGAAAATGGCTTGTGTCACTGAGGGGGTGGCTATGGCATGGATACACACTCCACTGTTGGCCTTTGCCAGGTCAATACACCCTCCACCCCGGTGCTGCTGTGGGAATAGGCTATGAGAGCCCAGGCATGGATGGGACTGTGTAGGGTGACCAGACAGCAAATGTGAAACATCAGGACAGGGGGTGGGGGGTAATAGGAGCCTATATAGGAAAAAGACCCCAAAATCAGAACTGTTGCTATAAAATTGGGACAGCCGGTCACCCTAGGACTGTGTCCAGTTACTGCACTGGGCAGAGCTTGTGTGTGGCCTGGACGCGAACCTGCGACTCCAGGGCAGGTAAGGCGCCATTCCTTTACCGTGAGACGCCCACAGCCCAACCCCTCATCACGCCCACTGCGCAGGCGCCAGCGCTGCAGCTCGCACCTCCGTCTCTCTCGCCTTTCCCCTCCCACCTCGAAGTAGACGTTCCAAGGGACGGGGGAAAGGGCGGGGTGGAGGCGGTGCCTGGTGGAGACGTCGCATCTCTATTGGACGAGCAAGGAAGGAGGCGGTGCCCCCTGCCCGGGAAAGGGCGGGCACCCTCGGCAGGGGTGGAAGGGGGTTTGTGGAGGACAGGACGGCGCACGCGCAGAGGTGTGGCTGTGGGCGGGGCTGACGAGCGCCGAGGGTGCAAGAGCCGAGCCTCTCTCCCGCAGCCGACTTTGATTAGCGGGCGGGCTGAGGGATTGGGTGTCTTCCGCGCGCGCCTGCGGCAGCCTCGCTATGGAGGCTCAGAAAGTGAGTGAGTGAGCGCGCGCGCGCTCGGCGTCCCCCGCCCCTGGGGGGTGGCAGTGGGTGACACTGGGGTGAGGGAGTGCCGCCGCCGGGGGGGGCCTCTCCGGGGGGGTAACGGGCCGCGCCCACGCTCACGCGCGAGCCCCTGAGCGGCCTCCCCGCAGGTGGGGGGGGCAGGCTGCGTGGCGCTAGCGGGAGTTGCTGGGGGGGGCAGGTTGGGATGACTCACTCTTCGCCCCCCCAAGCCGTGGGGTGGGGCTGGGGGAGTCGCGGGGTGGGTGTTTGTAGCAGCCCGTGGGGATGTCAGAGGCGTGTTTTGTTTTCAGTGAAAAGCTCTGCTGCATGGAGCCTCGGAGTTACCGCCTCAGGAAATGGCTGTGTAAGTGCTGGGTATTGTCAGCGGGGTCCCCGAGCCTGGCGAAACCAGGCTCGCTTTGAAGCTGCCTCGAGAAGAGAGGGCAGAGTTAGGGGGCCTGGGGCAGAGTTAGGGGGCCTGGAGCAGGCTGGAGCCTGGGGGAGCTGTTGCTCTGTGTCTAGAGTCCTAGAGGCAGGAGGGATGCTGAGGTGGCGTGTAGCTGCACACTGAATGTAGCTTCCATTAAACATGTCTAACTTAAAATCTTCAGGGGGGAGGGGGGAATGCATCCTTCTGTCTGTACCTCTACATTTATCTTTCTCCTTTGCTGTTTGTCTAACTTTTGTAGGCTTTGGAGAAGGCTTTTTCACAGAGAAGTGGTATGAAAGCTGTATAGCATAGCTGAGAAGAAACTCACCTGGGATGTACTGTGATGGGGAGGGGAGCAGCATACATGCCCATCAGTTCCAGGGAAGTAGCAGGTTTCCCTAAGACATTTGCCCATACTAGTGAGAAAATAAGACAATGTTTAGGAAGTGGAAGGAAAAATTCTTTTCAGTAACTTAACATACTGCAAAATGAGCACCCGTAAGAGATAGCTACTAGGAAGAAAATGGTGGGAAAATAGATGGAAACTATTCTACAATATTGCTCTGATCTTTCCTACAAGAGGGATGTAAAGGGGTTGTGAACCAACAAATGTAAATGTTGAGCTTAACAAAAGATTTGGCATCCTGCGTGTTGGGATGCTAATTGTATGTTTACAGGTACATGTTATAAAACACCACTATGGACTAGATCACTCTCTTGTTGTGCATTTTGGCCACCACTAATTAGATTGTTGACATAGGTGAATCCCTCCGATTACTGTTAATGTGAAACTGCATTGAAGGGGACAAATTAATTAAACTTCTTGTATGTTTTTAAAATGTGGCTGTTGACCTGCAGAGATGTGGCTGGGTTAGGAGACTGGACCAAGAGGAAAAAGTTAGCATAGACTCTGCAAGTAATCTTGACCCAACTTTGTGGGTCCCTGGCTAGGTGTCTGGAAGGATTTTCCCTGCCTCCTCCTTCAGGACCTCACTTTACTACTGGCAGTAGCCCAGAAATACTGGAACTACTGTTGGCTATGAGTTGTACCTTGACTTTTTGGGTCTTGAAAAATTTCACACACGTATTGTCTGGACGACTAAGGTTACTAGTACTTTGAAATATGCAGATGAGAAATGCTACCACCTAACTGGCTAAGACAGCTCTGTGGTAGACTCCTATCATAGAATCTATGAGTCTATCTGGATGCTCTCACGGGACCTCTTGGTTGAAGAGGTAAGGGGGTGAACTTCTGTAAGTCTCTGCCTCGTTAAATGTTGTATAAAATTGAATCTCTATCCACCTTGAGTTGCTGGATGGGAAAAGGAATTCTCTCCCCCCTTTCCCCCCAACCATCCAGCGGTGGGAGTGGGGGAGAGGGCCTATGTTATTCTACTGATTCTCCTAGCCTTGAGAATTGGCTTCTGCTTTACCCTTTTTTTCCAAATAGTATCATTCACATGATTTCTGAGTTTCACTGCTGCCCCACCGGGTTCTGCATAGTATCCTTAAAACTGACCATAGGTATTGTTGTTCTCCCTTTGGTGCAGCTTGGAGAAGCTATGAAAAGTAGCAGAAATTTTTTCACTTCAAGGTCCCAGAAACAAAGGCAAGGTTTTCATCTCGAGGCCAAAAGACCAAAAACATCAAGACACTTGATCACGGCCTTGGATAGACCAAGAGACTACCGACACTTGACCAGAGCTCAAAGAGCCGATATTACAGCTGTTTTTAGACTTGAAGATGGCAGTAGCTTGGTTTATGCTGGGTTCATGTTTTGAAAGTTACTTTTGAAATCATAATGGCTTGAAACATTCTTAAATGAAAGATTTTGCAGAGGCTCAGACTCAGAGTAGGTCCCCTTGCTAGGGCCAGATGAAATTGATTGAATACTACTTAATATACATAACCTTATTACTTTAATATTTGAGGTGTTCAGTTGCTATGTGAGTGCCATAGAAATGCATATAAATCAATTGTCTGTTATTTAGGAAGGCACATGTTGTGTATCTGTAAACTTAAAAAAAGTCTTGTCATGTCTATTACTTTATACTTGTCGTGTACTGTAGTATGACAGACTTGCTTGTGAAATTTTAGATGCACAAAATGTATTGTAGTCTTCCTTTAATTAATCCCATCTAATGGAGTCCACTTTACGAGTCCTCTCTCTCCAGAGTGCTCTGTTCAATGCTATATCCTCTAGTCTATCACACCACATTCTAATGTCTTCCTTTATGATATTCCACTGTGACGCTTTGGAGTTTCACCCAGACCAGTAAAGTGTCACCTATAACCTTGCGTACTTCTGTACTGTGCAACTTTGACTCAGAGGCCTGACACCAGCAGCCTGCTTACATCACAGTGACCTCACCCTGGCTTCCACCATCCTGATTACTCCATGCAGGGTGATACTAACTACCCTTCTGGTCCTGTGTCTACCCGAAACTGTCTCCCATGCCGTGCTCAGCCCTTCTCTAAAGGACCAGCAAATTTGATAAGGTTTTGTAAGTGCTAAAATGAGAAGACCTTACACAGTATCAGCCTGTTTGACTGTGGATTTTACTCTTTCAGTTTAAAACACTCCACTGAGATGGTTGTGCAATAAAACAAGATTGTTTATTAACAAATGACAGATATTTAAATGATACCAAACAGAAGGAATTGAGATAGAAAAGGTTCCAAATAAACAAAAGTGAAAATATGCTTGTGATAAATGAGAGGGGGGATAGCTCCCTTTTGTGGACATCCAGACAGCCAGTTGGCTATGGAATCCCTCTTGGTGGTGGTTCTCTGCTTCCTTTACCTGTAAAGGGTTAACAATCCCACAGGTAAAAGGAAAGGAGTGGGCACCTGACCAAAAGAGCCAATGGGAGGGCTAGAAATTTTTAAAATTGGTGGGGGGGAACCAAAAAACACAAACCTTCCCTGTGTCTGGGTGTTGTGGTTCTCCAGGAAAGAGGGGAACAGGGCTCAGTTATGCTGTGAGAAGCTTAAGCCAGATATGAAAAAACCATCAGATTATACCTAGAGGTTGCTTATCTGAAACCCCAGATATGTAAGTAAATTAGGGAATGTCTAGAAAGATGCGATTAGGTTTATTTCTGTTGGTTTCTTATTGGCTTGTGGACTCCTCTGTGCTAACCCCAAATAATTTTTGTTTTGCCTGTAACCTTTAAGCTGGATGTCAAGGAGGTTATTCTTGATGATTAAATTTTGTAAGTGGGTTTTGTAAGTCTAGCAAAAGCCTAAGTTCCAGATGTATTTTTTTCTTTTTTGATTTTAATAAAATTTACCTTTTTTAAGAACCGGATTGGATTTTCGGTGTCCTAAAATGTTTGTGCATATGTTAAATTAGCTGGTGGTAACAGCTGATTTCCTTTGTTTTTCTTTCTCAGCTCTTCCCCGGCCGGGGAGGGGTGGGGTGGGTAAAAGGGCTTGAGGGTAGCCCACAGGAAGGAATTCCAAAGTGTGCCTTTCTGGTTTCAAAGGTTGTTTGTTTTGTTTTGTATTTGGGTGGTGGCATCATCTACGCATACAAGGTCAGAGAGAAACTGTAACCTTGGGAGTTTAATAATACTGGCCACTCCAGGGTTGTAATTTTTAGAATCCATGCACGTCCCCACTTCCTGCACTCGAAGTGTCAGAGTGGGGAATCAGCCTTGACAGTGCGTCTAATAAGATGATGAAAAAAAATAATAGTGAACAGAGTTTGAGCATAGAAGTTTCTGGTTATCAGGGAATAACATACAGATTATCGAGGGTGCAAAGTTTGGTTTAAGATCAGGTGGCACGAGGAATACATAATCTGTCAGATCCCCGAATGGGGGTAAAAGGTTGATGGGTCAAAGTACAGACATTGAGATATGAGGGTATGAAGTTCATAGAGTGCTGTGTTCGGATGTGGAGTATAATGAGTGGATACGATGATGAGGATGGATTGACCCTCGTTTGGTGAGATTTAATGTTTAGGGAGTTTATGGTTCCAGTTCATATGATCCAATGGAGAAGGTCACTTGGTCCCTTTCTCGTAGTGGGAGAACGATGTCACTCTGGCTCACGCCTCCTGGTACTGTCGGTGGTCGGTGATGTGATCAATGTAGATGTCAAGCTGGGATCTTTTGTTAAATGGACTATGGTGGAAAAAATCAGTCTTCTAGCAGGGCTGGCTAGTCCTTAGCCAGGATCCAACTCAGATCTCAAAGTGCTTGGTGTCTGTTTCTTCAGGTGAAGAATGCCAAAATGGCTTGCTTTCTCCACTCATATTCTCAAGGTTCATCCTTGTTTTCAAAGGCAGGAAACCCTCCTGGGGGCTCAGCTTGCTGTGTCCACCAGAGAGCTGATACCATGTTAATTTTTTTTTCTCAGTTTCCTCCTCTTTGATGGCTTTGTTTACATTTTATGTAAATGTACTTCCATTCTCTCCTTGATCAATTTACATTGGAGACACATACAAGCAGGCAGAGCCACATTCCTTGGTCTAGCCCAGGGTGCCTTAAGCCCTACCACATTTTAAGAACATTTCCAGCACATTTATAATTTTTTATGTTAACAGTACATAATCTCACAAGAATACTAATCAGTGAGTTACTAGTTTTTCAATGATATATTACAAGACATCCTTTAAATTAATATAATGACAAGTTTGTGGGGTGCACTGAGCTGATCAGGCCAGCTGAGACTCACTGCTACATATACCTCTACCCCGATATAACGACCCGATATAACATGAATTCGAATATAACACGGTAAAGCAGTGCTCCGGGGGGGCGGGGCTGTGCACTCCGGCGGATCAAAACAAGTTCGATATAATGCGGTTTCACCTATCTCGCGGTAAGATTTTTTTTTTGGCTCCCGATGACAGCGTTGTATCGAGGTAGAGGTGTACCAGAAAGCCCCATGCCATCTTCTTATGAGGGTGGGTTATAGTTTTGCCAATCACTTCTTGGGTTGACCTCTCTTTTTCCTTCTATCTTGATGGGTTGGTCTTACCCACATAGTTGTCAGGACTGTGCTTTACACAACTAAACCATTTGAGCCTGCACTCCCTCAATACAAAATGTATCAAATCACATCATGTAACTCATGGGCGTTAATGTGCTATTCAGAGGCACTAAATCTAATTCTTAAATTACAATGTAGTTAATTTGCCATGGTTGGATTGTTGGCATACGATATTAAAAACACATCTAAACCTTATTTTAGGGCTTCAGTGACTCCATGAACATGTACTAATTGGGGTACTAAGCCTACTAGCCAGAAGGAAGTACAAAAATGAAGGGGCTCACCCGTGACCTCCAGGAAAATGCCTGATAAACACAATGCTTACCTTCTGTGCAGTAAAAACGAGGAGTCCTTGTGACACATTAGAGACTAACACACTTCTCTGCAGTGTTATTTGAATCCCCCTCAGTGGGGAAATAGCCAAGGGTCTTCACTGCAACTTGATTGTTAGGCCATTCTCCTGTGGGATGTAAGCCTCTACTTTTTGCTCATAGCCAGGTCTACACTAGAAACTTACATTGGTATAACTATGTTGCCCAGGGCTGTGAAAAATCCATACACCTGAGCGACAGTTAAACTGACCTAATTCCTGGTGTAGACAATGCTAATTCTCTCATCAGCATAACTACTGCCTCTGGGGGAGGTGGACTAACTGTGTCAATGGGAGAAGCCCTCCTGTTGGCATATTAGCATCTTCACTGAAGGTTTTCAGCTGTGCCACGGCAGCCTTTTAAGTGTAGATTGGTCCTTTGTTTTCCTACAATTCATCTTAATGAAATTATGGACAGCAGAAGAGATGCTGGAGCTGCCAGCCTTCAGAGATGAGCTGCAATCTGCTTCATCTTGCATTTTACTACTCATTTGGACGATTATTTGCAAACAAAATACTAGAGCTAGAAGTCAGCAGCTTATTTGAAATTGATGGCTTGGGCCCCAACACCTGCCAAGGAAAGCTACCCACTCCATTAGCAGATTTTTCAGCTTTTACTTTTTTTCACCATTATGGAAAATGTATGGTTAGGATTAAAGTTAACCAAACTTCATGCTATTCCTTCCTGCTTGATGAAACTGTAGCTTTGAAAGTTTTATGTACTATTTCTAATAGTCTTGCTGATCCTTGTTTCTCCCCCTCTTCTCTCTCCCCCCATTAGTCCTAACTCTAGGATCATTGGCACAATCTTGTTTATGGTGGGACAACTGTTAGCAAGTAGAAAATGGGAGTGGTACAGTACATTGTTTGTATTTTAGGAATGGCTGTGCAAAGGACTTTATTTGAATGTTACCTAGATAGACCTTTGCCTTTAGGTAAATTCAGACTTTTTTATTGTACATGGCTATAAAACCTTTTTCAAATGGCAGAACCAACAGGATCTAGTAAATCCAATCCTCTTTTGACTTGGGAGTTTTCTGACTCATCCATACTGACAGTTATATTTATAGGATCTAAGGCTTAGCTGTGGGCTTGTCTGACACAAGCACAATTGCTTCTGGTCAGTAGTGAACCAGAAAGCAGCTGGTCAGATTAGACTGTCTGAGGGAATAACTTAAAAACAACTTTGTCCATAATACTCCTATATAATACATACTTAACCAATGGGAAAGCTTCTATTCTCAGCCAAATGGTAGAAAATATATTCATAACAGCAACTTGAGGGAAGTAATGGGTCCTGGTACACATCACCATGGCAATTTGACTGTCCTTAGTGAATAGTGAAAAAATTGGCAAGGTCTGGCAATTGTATGCAGTTGCACACAATTAACCAGAGTAGTATTGCATGGTTACCTCATGCCAACTCTTGATAGGTGTAGAGGTAAACTTCTCTTCCAATTTCAAGTTTGGAATCTTTTCCTAAGAGCCTTCTGGCAGGAACCAGGGACTGTAGATAGCTTGCTGATTCTTCCACTGAAACACTGATCAGTGAGGCTCTCATATTAAAATCCTCAGAGTGCAGGTAGGTGGATGCTAGTATAATTCAGTTCTTAGTGTTCTCCATGGCTTTCCTTTCAATATTCTATCGAACTGGATGTTGGCATACCCTCTAGAGACAGTGGACCGCATCCCACCAGTTTTAGTTACCTGAGTGCTATACCTCTAGGTTGATCAGCAGGCTTGTTTCTAGGCAGTTACCCAGTTCCAAGTATTTTTTTTTAAATAATTCTAATTAACTGGAGAATGACAGAAATGCTTTATTTGTGAGGTCACAAATAATAAATTTCCTGTGATGCATTTGTAGAATGAATTAAGGACGGGACTAGGAAGAAATGTTAGTTTAAACACAGTTGCTTATATACCAACTTCTGTTGACAGCAAAGCCCAAAACACTTAAGTTTTAGCTACTTTTTATACAAATTACATGATCAAAGGTGTAAAGAAGTCTTTTCTACTCAAAATAAGAAAAAAAAGTACACCTTGGTGGAACACCTCTTAGATCAGTGTTTCTCAATATGGCCACTGTGGCTGCATGCGGCCACTAGGGGCTTTTCGTGTGGCCACAGCCTCCTGGGTTGTGATATGCGGGGGAGGGGAGAGGGGCAAAGCAGTGGCCCCTCCCAGGGCTGCCAGTAGGGGCTGGGCCCTGTCCCCTTCTGGAGCCACAAATGCTGGAGGAGCAGGCAGGCGGCAGGCCTCGGGCTTCAGATCTGGGGTGGTGGGCGGCAGGCTCCAGCCGTGTGGTGGTAGGCTCCATCCCCTGGCCCCAGGCTCACTCCTGCCCCCACCCGTTGCCTCCTCTGGCCCTGGGCTCTGGCTGTTTGCTCTGACTCCTAGCTGCAGGATTTTGGACTCCACCCATGGGCCCAAGTGATCTAGCCCCCGCCATGTGGCAGTGACTACCAGCCCCAAGTTCACCCCCCCCCCCATGCATTGCCCCAGGCTCCCACTGCATCTTCCGGCCCCGGTCTTACCAAGCTATGCAGCTGCAGGGCTCCAGTCCCTGGACTCACCCCCACATCATCCCTGGCCCCGAGCTGCCTCCCTATCCACCTCCCCATCCAGGCTTAATTTGTCCCCCAGCTTGCCAGGGCTGAGTAAATCTGTTGTGAAAAATATTTGTATGTCTGTTAATATCACTTTTCACTGCATCCCTGCTAGCTAGCAAGTCCGCTGCTATGAAAAGTGATCTTAACAAAATACAAATTTTACACAGACTTACTAGCTAGCAAGTCTTAAAAATATAAGCAAGCAAAAGAAACCCCAACAAAAAGGGACAAGAACATGCAAAACACATTAGTTTCTATTCTATCCAGTAAAGAAGAGAAAACTGTACATTATTTTTATTATTGAGTCTGCAAAAAAACCCCTACATAAATATGCACATATGTCCAAATCATTATTTGTTTTTCCTAACATTAATTCAGTATTTTAGGAAAAATTGTCAAAGTGGCCACCAGCAATAGTTGGTGGCTGCATGCTGAGGTCACCAAAAAATTTCTTGTGAGAAACCCCTATCTTAGATCTCTCATCTGTTTTGGGCCTTCCTAGCTTTAACAAAACTTTAAAAACAACAAGGAGTCTGGTGGCACCTTAAAGACTAACAGATTTTATTTGGGCATAAGCTTTCGTGGGTAAAAACCTCACTTCTTCAGATGCATAGAGTGAAAGTTACAGATGCAGGCATTATATACTGACACATGGAGAGCAGGGAGTTACTTCGCAAGTGGAGAACCAGTGTTGACAGGGCCAATTCAATCAGGGTGGATGTAGTCCACTCCCAATAATAGATGAGGAGGTGTCAATTCCAGGAGAGGAAAAGCTGCTTCTGTAATGAGCCAGCCACTCCCAGTCCCTATTCAAGCCCAGATTAATGGTGTTAAATTTCCATTAGGACTTGAATCCATGTTTGTATTGTCCTTGTGGTGTTGCAGTGGGAAGTGGTGATAGGCAGGCAAAGTTTTCATTAGATAATAAACATTCTTTGGGGTAGCAAACTATTTAAAATTGCTCACAAGATGTATAATAATCTTTACATAAATATTGAATTCTCTCTTGAATTTCTTTGTAATCCCAGGAAGCTCTACAAAGGATTATCTCTACTCTGGCGAACAAAAATGATGAAATCCAGAACTTTATCGACACACTGAACCATACATTAAAAGGTGTTCAGGTACATGTGTTAATATCTGCAAATCATTATATTTGCAAATGTGATGAAGTTGGGAGGTGGATCATAGAAGATCATAGAATCATAGGGTTGGAAGGGATCTCAGGAGGTCATCTAGTCTAACCCCCTGCTTAAAGCAGGACCAATCCCCAGACAGATTTTTTTACTCCAGTTCCCTAAATGGCCTCCTCAAGGAGTGAACTCACAACCCTGGGTTTAGCAGGCCAATGCTCAAACCACTGAGCTATTCTCCCCCCCCCCCCCATGTCCAGTCCAGTCCAGTCAGACTTGGATTATTCTTATTTAAAAAAATTCTTGGTGTGTAAAGAGCTGCTAATAACTCTTAAAACCAAAAAGGAAAGCGGTTGTGGTGGTTTTTCTGTTTATGGGTGATTCTGTTGAAAGTATACATTTAAATTCTGAAACTGGAAAATCCCTGTTTTTGTAAAATGCTGTGACTGGACTCAACTATTAGGGAAGAGTCTACATTATTTTGAAGCTTCTGCCACCTTGTTTGACATGGAAGCTGTGGTAGTTGGAGTTGAGTGTAAACTTTTTTCCTAGTTAAATCCAGCTCACATTCTTCTGAAAAGCCAATATTCATCTGACATGTTGAGATTTCTTTGGTCTGAGCATCAACACTTGTCTTGCTTTTCAGGTTAGTGCTTTTAAATCAGTAAATTGGAGGATGACAGACTGTCAGGCTTATGTTGATTCTTGTATTATCTACCCCTTTTCTCAGTCTAAAACAAGGATTAATTATTTTCTAATTTCTCTACTGCCTGATACTTATACCTCTGTACTGTGCTCTTTGCTCAGCATTGATATGTTTGTAACACTGTAAATCTAAGCTAGTTTCTTAAGGAGGGGCAAATAAAACCAATTGCTGCTCCTAGAACTAGGTAATTTCTTTTTTTGTGTGTGAACTACTAGTCTTCTGTGTATGAGAGCTTGAGACTCATGAAAATGAGGGGCTCGTATTCTTGGATAACTAATGGTCACACATACCTGTGTGCTGTGCAGGATTCTGTATGTAGCTTTGTTGACATAACCAACTGGTGGCCTGTAATACTCTAAATTCTCTAGTCTGCTTGACAGGTTTCAGAGTGGTGGCCATGTTAGTCTGTATCAGCAAAAACAATGAGGAGTCCTTGTGGCACTTTAGAGACTAACAAATTTATTTGGGCATAAGCTTTCATGGGCTAGAACTCACTTCATCAGATGCATGAAGTGAAAAATACAGTTTGCAAATTAATTCCAGTTCTGCAGCTTCACGTTGGAGTCTGTTTTGAAGTATTTTTGTTGTTGAAGAATTGCCACTTTTAGGTCTGTTGTTGAGTGACCAGAGATTGAAGTGTCCTACTGGTTTTTGAATGTTATGATTCCTGATGTCTGGAATTAATTTGCAAACTGAATACCATCAGATTAGGCCTGAATAAAGACTGGGAGTAGTTGGGTCATTACAAAACCTAAACTTAATTTCCCCAATACTAATTTCTCCTTACTGTTACTCACACCTTATCAACTGTCTGTAATGGGCCACTCACTTCAAAAGTTATTTTTCCTCCATTGGTATCCTGCTGTTAATTGATTTATCTCGTTAGACTGACCTCACACTTGGTAAAGCAACCCCCATCCTTTCATGTATTTATACATGATCCTGTATTTTTCACTTCATGCATCTGATGAAGTGGGTTCTAGCCCATGAAAGCTTATGCCCAAATAAATTTTAGTCTCTAAGTTGCCACAAGGATTCCTCGTTGTTTTAGTCTGCTTGAGAGGCCCACCATACCAAATTGCATTGTGGCTAGCAAATTTTCATGAGATGGGGGAGCATGACAACATGCAGAGTGATCATTGCAAATTGTAGTGGGGCGGGGGGAAGCTTTCACTCTGGAAGACTGATTTTCATCACTGTTCTTGCACAACTGAAACACAATTACAATTCTCTTCTTAGGCTAATTCTTCTAATGTAATTGCTGAGCTGGATGAGGAATTTGATGGTCTGTATTCTATACTGGATGAGATGAAGGAAAGTATGACCAACAGTATTAAGCAAGAACAAGCTCATAAATCTCAAGAGCTACAGGTAATTGCATACATCTGAAAGCTTTTGCAGTACTAAGGATGTAATTCTTGACAAATTAGCTAGTTTCAGTCTCATTGCAAAATGATTTTGCAGCATGTATTGATAACAAATATGTTTACTCCTAGCTAAGGTGTGTGTTCTATCTTAAGTACTTACATGGCTTCCATTGCATGAGTCCCTCAAATTTTTAAATATATTTAACTCACATGGATATTGAGTATGAGGAAGTGCTGTTATCCCCCATTTTACTGATGGAACCGAGGCACAGAGAAACTAAGGGCCACACAGGCAGATTGTAACAGACCTGAGAATCAAACCCAGGTTTCAAGTCCTAGGCTAGCACCTACTTACTGATCTATACTTTCTCCTCCTTGCTCTTTACACATAAGGAGTTATCTGTTTTCCACTGGAAAAGTATGAGGTACTTGTTGCTACACAATTCCCAATATGTATGTTTTTCTGAAGTGTTGAATTATTAAATTTGATATAAGAACAAGTATTACAATTTTACATGCTGTGTAAGGGAATATTTTTGGGAGTGGGAGTGTGAAGAAATATGAACAAAGTAACCAACTGACTTTTCTGAACTGGACATCAACTTTGTATTTTCTCCAATAGTTTGTCACTGATAAAGTGTAATTTTTTTTATTTTTATTTTTTGGAAAGGTAAACATTGGCACATGTTGCAAGGGTCTATGAATGTCATCTTTTTAATTGCTGTTCCTCTAGTTAAACACCAATACATTTTTTTTTAACATTGGAGTCCTCCTTAAAGCAATTTCAATGTGGCTGGAATGGCATCCTTACTTTCCTTTATTTTGAAAAGGTCTACCTTTCCTCTTCACCCTCCCGCTCTGAAAGGCTTCCCTCCCCTTATTCCTTGCTGCTGCTGCGTTTTTTTTTTAATGTCCTAGACTGTGTTTCTCAGAACAAATTTCCATGGCTCCTTTAGGAGCCTGTTCACTGGTAATATTCATATTCAAAGGTTTGGCAGCAAAACTTGGATTAAATTTTACAAAACAGTTTCCAGAGTACACAGGAAAGACACACATTTTTCTGGTTTTATTCTTTAGCACTGCTATGAAATAATGGGGCTGGAAGACCATTGTGGGTATTAAGATGCAAACGAGCACATCAACCTCTCAACTTTTGTTCCAGAATTCCTGCAAATAGACTCTGACTAAGGCACTTGATGTGCTTTCTTGTCTTTACTCATTATACTCTCCTACCTCCCTCATAGCAGTGCTGGTGTTGGAGCTCTGAGAACAAGCTGAGAGGTTTTGACATGCAGGTTTTTCCTATGTCCTTTTCAAGCAAGAACTGTAAATTTCATACCAAACAGAAGAGCTAGTATTGTCATTCACATTTTTTAGTTTTAAAATACGTTGTTAGGCTCTTGACTGGAACTTAGGTAACTAATTACATTTATGCAGTGTTTGAGAACAAAGGGTTTTGAAACTGGCCTGGCTGACTGACTTTCTTTAGAAAGAGGCAAGTTCTTTATTGTGCAAACTTTTTAGCTTGCTACTCAAGGCTTTTAAGGTCCTAGACTAACACTTACTCACTGTACAGCATGAGCAGCTCTATTTGGCACTTAACTCTACCAGAGACTTCCTATAGAACCTTAGGCAAGTCACTTTTCTTTGCCTCGGATTCCAGTCTTAAAAAACCCTCATTACTTCACATGTATGGGTGAAATCACTAACGTTTGTAAAGTGTTCAATATTTTAATGGTTGGGGTGGGGTATCTGTGGGAGCAAACAGCATGTATACCAACCTGATAGGAGTTCTGGTATTTAATTAGACCAGTGCTTTATTTAGACATGTATCATGTCTGATAGTGGCCAGTACCAGTTCCCTCAAAGGAAGGTGCAAGAAATCCCTAACTGGGGGCTGTCATTGCTTTTAGATCATGAGCTGAAGCAGGAGGGTTTAAATCCACAGTTATAATTATACCATATAGAAAACTTAAATTAAGGATCTTAATTTCTTGACCTAACAGAGGGCTTGACATTCTAAAAGCTTGTCTGTCATTGTTGTACAGTTGAACCAACAACTGTTACCTGAAACCTATGTATTGTATGACGGCACTGCCGCTTCTTGAAATTAGAAGGAAAAGAGGGCCTGTGGTATGTTACTGGTGACTGAATGCTTGCAGGTTTTGTCAGCTTGCCTTTCAGGGCAGGTTGTTCTAGCTACCAGCTCTGGAAATGTTTATTTGCTCAGTCTTCAAATTTGATCACCTTCAATGTCTCATGATTTGAGGAGTTCCATGATACTTCTTTGGAGGGGGATGGAGAGGAGTTGTGATTCAGAATAGAACTGCACTTTATGAATCTCCAAATGTCTACTAAAAGCAGATAAAGGATAGTATTGACTCTTCTGGATGTACCTTAATTGATCAAATTTTTTAGTGAAGACTGCATGCTGGACTCCTTGTTGGCTAACAATGCACTATATAGGTCAACTGTACAAAAGTACAGCTGAAATAATGAAGCTTAGTCTAGGGCAGCAGTTCTCAAACTTTAGCAACCTGAGGACCCCCATTTTGATTTAAAAATTTTCAGACCCCCAAGCCCCCTGCTCAGCCCCAAGCCCCGTCTCTGCTCTTCCCCCTCCCTCCCAGTGCCTCCTGCATACCATTGAGCAGCTGTTACCTAGCATGCAGGAGGCACTGGGAGGAAGGGGAGGAGTTGAGTTGATCAGCAGGGCCCGTGGACCCCCTGGAGTACCCTTGCAGACCCCAGGGATCCGCAGACCCCAGTTTGAGAAATGCTGGTCTAAGGTATATTAACTGGGTGTGACTCTTCATTGGCGTTGAGGAAGCAATATCCTCTAATTTTACTGTCACCAGGGTGTGTTTGTGCTGTATCTGCACAGGCAGCCTTCCTGATACTGTCTGGATTGGAAAACTACCTATTCCATGCCTTTAAATGGGAAGAACTTGTAAGTTGTACAGTCATGGTTGTATAATGATTGGTAGATTTATTACGAATAAAACTGCTGATATTGGTATGTGAGTGATTTAATTTAACTCTCTTCTAAGTTGATGCCATCTCACAAGAATATTGAACTCCTCCGTAGGCCCAGGCTTAAAACTGGAACTGCAAGGCTGGAAGAAACACTGCTTATCTGTAGGGCAATCTATCCTAATTACACTTGTTTACAACTGACATGGCTCCTTCCATTCCCAAATACTGATGCATCCAACTGGAATGCTAATACTAGTGTCTGGTTGCTGTGTCTTGGCAAACTGTTGAGATGCCCTTAGCTAAACACTGCTATTGTTGAGATGTCTGCTTTTATGGCAATATTATGCAATGTTGTGCATGGTATGTCAAAGCTGATATATCCGCAACAGTCACATGTGGGTCAGTGGACAGAAGCTGACTGACTGGAAGGAGGTTTGCATTAATCTAGTATGTTTCAGAAATCACAGAAAATTGGTATAAACTTTGAGGTCTCAAACAATCTTTCTGCTACTAAAGACAGCTACTTAGATCCTAAACTGTTTTTAGGTAAGACTATTAAAAAAACAAAAACAAAAAAACCCCCTCTAGATGGACATCACTCTGCAAGTTCTGTATTGTGCAGATTTTTTGGTTTGCTACTGGAAGCTATTCAGGGAAGAGACTTACGTTTATTTGCTGTACAGTATCAGCAGATTTATTGGGCACTTGCATTGCTGTATCCCTAGATCTCCAAGGTGAGTAAGCAGCACTTTACAGAGGGAGAAATTGTTGCAGATTAAATGACCTCCACTGCAACAAGTTGATGGCAGAGCTAGGACAAAACCTACATCTCCTATGCCCTACCCTTTGGCCTGCAGTTAAGATGGGTACACAGTACCCCTTCAAATGTAATTTAGTATCTCCATAATACTGAACTAAAATTAAAACTGGAAAGCATGGTTCAGGCCACGCTTTCAGCTTTTTAACCATATCTGCAACATACGCTTTAATTTATTTGGTGCACACTCTGTAAAATGCTTACAATTTTTAGTATGGTGAAAGCAGTAGGCTACAGTGTATACATCCATCAGGTCTTATGGGTGCCATTTAACAAATTATTTGCTCCTTAGTTTCATAGGTCATAGTATACATCCTTAAGTTTCAGCCAAGATGATGTGTCCTGCCAAGAAGGATGCCAAAGCCTTTGGGTGGCAGAGCTGATACTCACTAACATTTAGAGTGCAGCTGGGGTGAATGTCAAAATTCTGCAGTTCATACTAATACTCACTATTGTGACACCTTGGCACCCCAGTATTCACTACTGTCATGTAATTAGGACCTGTTTTGTACAAAGTACACCTTGTGAGGCATCATTCTAAAAGTCTTGATCTGCTAGACAGTAATATCTCGTTGGATTGTATGTGCTGTCGTCATATGTGAAGTTATGAAGTTTGGTTATGTAGGTGTTACTGAAACGTTGAGGTTGAAAATCCCCACAAGCAGCCTTTCAGGTACAACAGTAAAAAGGCCAAACAATATTAATGGCTCATTGAGAAAATGTACAAGCACTAGGATTACCCCTGGGATTGTGTACAATGAAACCTCTCAGAGATATCATTACAAAATGGTAACTATTTGACCCAGATCACAGCAAAAGAGCTTTCCAGCAAGTGGGAAGAAGATATAAAAGGGGGCCAATGACATCATGACGGTACCTCACTCTCCCTACGGAAACATCTGAGGGGCAAGGACTGAACTGGGGGAAGTGATGGTCCCAGGCTAGAGGGATTTTTAGCCTGTGTATGAACCTGGGAAAGCCAAGGCAGCTTGTGCCTTAAGAATCTGCCCACCTGTTTATCACTCCAGGGTGAGAATTTGCTAATTCATATCCTACCTATTTAGTGTGTGTAAACTCCGTTTATGGTTTTGTTTATTTACTAAGGTAATCTGTTTTGATCTGTTACCACTTATAATCACTTAAAATCTATCTTTTGTAGTGAATAAACTTGTTTTGGTCTAAAATCTGTGTAAACTATGAAAGCTATTGCATATCTCTTTTCACATTGGGGGGAGAGGGTGGATTTTATGAGCTTATCCTGTACAGTTCCCTGTGCAGCACAAGATATAATTTTGTGTTTGCACTCCAGAGGGGGGTACATGCCTTAGCAACTAAGAGGAGCCTCAGCTGAGTCTTCCCATGCCAAGCTGATCTCAGCATCTGTGTGAGAAGCTGCAGCTGGGTGTGTCCCTACGTGTGTGTATGCTGATGAAAGAGCAAGCTTGGAGAGCTTGGCAACTTATTACAGCACCACAGTGTGAAAGGGAGCCCAGGCTGGTGGGTCAGGCAGGCTTAGTGGTACCCCAGTTCCAAGTGGCATTCTGGAGGGAGCCAGTCAAAACGATCTTACCAACTCTTAAAATTTTAATATATGAAACGATCTTCTGTTGTTTTCTGACCCTAGAATCAACTTAGCCAATGTAGTAATGCCTTGGAGAATTCTGAAGAACTTCTAGAATTTGCTGCACGGTCACTGGACATAAAGGACCCTGAGGAGTTCTCAAAGGTAGAAAATTAAACGCATGTGAATAAGGAAAACACAGTTCTACTTTCTTAACTTGAATGGGATTTCATCATAAATCTGACATTGCAAACTGCTTAGCATAATGATAGGGGAAGAGGAGAGGAATCTAGAAAAGTAGCTAGCGCCACTGGAGCCATAATGCCAAGATGGCTGTTACAAGGGTGAAAAATCAATAGCTATATTGGTTTATTTTTTTTTTCATTCTAAACTACCCTAGTATTGCTTTTTGCTGCCTCCTGATTTTGATGGGCTGTAACCATGAGAGCCATAGCCATTTGACTTAACTGCAGTTTAAAATCTTACATTAGCATCTGTAAGCTCCTCAGGGCAGTTTTTACTGTATGCCTTGCAGGCCTTCTAATGTATGAGTGGTGGCTTTTTTGTTTAAAAAAAAAAAAAATTCTCCAGCACAATGAGTCCAGACATGGTTTGAGTGATTCGGTGGAGCTAATACAAACAATATATGTACATTACCATTAACAAACTTACAATTGAGTTGGGGAAATGCACCAAGGGAAAGGTAGAGGAGTGGAAACGCAATACAACTGGTAAAATGCTGGCAATCCAGTTACTGCAGCTTCAGATCTATTACCAGGATATCCCATGTTTGACTTTGTCAATGTCATGTACCATATTTGTTTTTGTACTAACAATGCAGTGAGCCACATCAAATCCAAACCCCAATTACTTGTGTTTTCTGCTGTTTTAATTTTCACTTGGTAACAAGGATACTGGAAAGGTTCTAGTAAACAGGACAAACTTTCTCTTAGTGACAGTGTGAGTTCCCTCTGGAAACCTGTTTGTTTAATTTTCCCTGAAGGACTGACAACTTAAAGCTAAGTGTCTATCTAGTACTTAAATTTAGGGAGCCTAATACATTTCTTGACATATTAAAACTGTCTCAGATCTTAAACAGTTCTTCAGAAATATTGTACCCAAAGCTATATTATAACTAGAGTTAACTGGAAAGCACACAGACTTTATTAATGGAAATCTTATTCATCTTACACTAATTATAATGAGCATTTCTTTTGGCATTTAGATCACCAAATCTGCAGGGTTAAAGATACTAAGAGCAAGTGTAGTCAGCTGTAATTTAGTATTTGTAATTTGCACTGTTAGCCTGGGCTGTAGTCTCAACTTCAGCTCTCTTTGAGCACAGATTTGCATGTGCCATAGGGCTCTGTTCTGGTCTACATGCTGCCACACCTATGACAGTGGATTTTTGACTTCATTGAGCTTTAATACCTGGAAGGGGTGGTGGGTGGGAGGTAAGATTGCCCCTGCCTTTTGGAGTACTCCTGTTTAATATTAAGTACAGGAAAAAATGAAGACCTTCTTACCTTTAATTGCAGTATGGAAGAGCTAATATCTTGGAATTGCTAAAAACTCATCTTTTATTCAAACTAAACCCTTAGTTTAAATAAAACAACAACCCACTAATGAAATCCCCTTGGAAGTAGGGCTGATTTGTAAGCTTATATTATCCTCACAATGTTCTTTCATATATGCAAAAGCACTTGGCTGCATCTGTTGTGGACACCATGGTGCATGCCGTAGCTTATTTTTAGGTTAAAACTGCAGTACTATAATTAGGCTTGAGACTTTTTAGGATGTCATGAGTATGGGGCCTCAGATTTCACTGTAGATACCAATCTTAAGCAACCATCCAAGAGGCTGAGAAACTGCTTGCTTAATGGAAGCATGTTTCTAAAAAAAGAGAATTACACTCAAATGTGGAAACATCAGCTGAAAAATACAGTAAAAATTACATGCACTGAATTAGTACTTATCTCCATTGTAGGACTGTGCAGTGTTGGTACTTGGCTAAATATTAATGCTGAAGCACTGCAGATCTCTACATGCCATAGTAACAGTATACTATCTTCGTAGAACTCATTCTTTTAGCTTTGGAATATTGATCAGTGCATCAAGACTGATTCTGTGTACATAAATGATACATCTCTAAAATGGGGAGAGACTTGCTCTAAGTGTTAATTATTAAATGAAATGGGAGCAGTAGAGTTGACTGACAAATATTCCAGCCATTGCAATTTTGTGACATTTATACAGGGCACAACTTCTAAATTTATTTCCATATGTCCACAAAGTAAAAACGTGATGGGAAGGTACTGGATATTTATACCTACTTGTGAACCATAGTAATGGTCTAAGTTCTCTACAGAACTTCATTTAAATGTTTCCATGGTCCTGTCTCAGCTGAAGATGTACAGCAGTATGAAGCAGGGTTGGTACTGATTGACTCTCTTCTTGCCTGGACAGCGAGCACAAAAGACTTTTTTTTTTTTTTTTTTTTTTCCTTGCAAGTTTCTATTTAATTTTTAGACACAAACTGCATTTGATTAGTTTAAATGCATCAGGTCTAAATTTAAATGTCCCTTATGGCCACACTGGTGAATTGATGCAAGTCACTATTTTGGCATGTTATCGGTTCATGCTCCTTGTTGAGTAGAGCCAAATACACCGTTTTTGTATGGCTAGTCAGTTAATGAGTCATTCAGCTTTCAATAACATGTAAAATCCCTTAATACAGGGAATCTTTTGTTTGTTTCAGAGTTAATCACTTAATTTGAGAACAGCTATCTCAATGTGGGGGGAGATGTTGAATCCTATTCATGTCTACTGCATTTAAACTATGATTGAGGATGGATTTTCTTTTTTGTCACAAGTGATATTTAGTGAATTGGACTTCTGTGAATTTTTGAAACAAGCTGAGCAATTTAGATCGTTTTTCACTGAAATTGACATGGAAAAACCATGAACAGCATTAAAAGCTACATTCATGGTCAGTCATGGTAGTCAAGAGAAGAAAATTGGATCAACTGCAAATGTCTCCTAGCATAGTCTGCTGAGCCAGCTCATTAGATCAGCAATTCTCATTTCTAAAAAGAGAGAGGTTCATCTTCCTTCTCAGTACAGAAACTACACTGATTCATCTTTCAGGTGGTGGGTTTTTGTTTTTTTTTGGAAGGGGTAATTGCATGATTGAGAACTACATGTTTGCTTCATTAGAGAAATGACAGGATGGATTCTGGGGCTTCCCTGGAACATCCTTAAATCCTGGTTCTAGGAGAAGTAGATCTTAGTTTCAAGAAGTTCCCCCCCACCCCCCTTCAAAAAGTTGATTCTTTCTTTTTAAAGGAGCAGCTACTAGGAATTGTAAACAAGAGCTACTACATAAGATCCTACTAGAGTTGCCAAAGTAGGATCTCCTCCCTTGAGTACGATACCAAATTGGTGAGGAATGTCATTGATCCAACTCTATTTTTAGTATACTTTACACAACGGATATTTAGCAAATAAGGGCACTTGGAGTGAAATTCTCCTCTGCAGGCACTCTAAATTGAAGTGAATTTCAGCCTTACTGCTTTTTGTAGGTTGAAATAGTCCAACTATGTATAGCAAATTGATTGTAATTGTACTAGATGAATGTCAACATAAGATCCCCCATAATGAAACCCTTGTGTGATATTGTAGTATAATTTCCTTACTACTAGACTTTCCTGTCAAACCAATAATGTCTCTAAAGTATTTCTAAGCAGATATACTCTTAAATAAATAAACTTGACTGGTGTTACTGTGTAGCTTAAATTTCCAGACATGCACAGTTTAGGTTTCCAACTGTGACATATGGAAACTTAAAAGTATTCTCCAATGGAAAGATTTTTATGTAAACATGCTTGTAATCAACAAGAACCTTTCTATTAGTATTTGTAAAATACTTTTATGTCTAAAGAAATGTCCTAGGCTTTCTGGTGCTGTTTCTTGAGTTTTATTTTGAGGATTAACTATCTGAGTTGGAGGCAACCTCAAACCAACTAGAAACTCTAGCTGAGACTATTGGGTGGATGAATCCACCCAGCTCATTACTGTTAACTTGTCCAATAACCTTTTTATTCTTAAATGTGACCAGGCCTCCCTGTTTTCAAATGGTAAAATCAAAAAGATTTTGATACCTGTAGATCAGCCATATTGATTCTGGGTATACTGCAATAATAGCAGGAAGTTGAGTACTTGTGCAAGTCCATATATTGGAGCTTCTGAGGAATACATGGGGAAAATCTACAGTAGAGTAGGATTGACGAAACAGTACAATAACTTTCAGAAGGAATTTTTCCTTTCCTCTGATACCTCTTCCACAAGAAGTTAGGCCCCTGACAGGGTATGGATAAATACCATTGGTAGCAAAACAAGTACTTTGCACTATTGATTCAAAAGAGCAGAAGCTAAGTAAATGCTCCTGTCTTTGTACTTTTTTTTCTTTTAAATTTGGAATTATGGATGCAGGAAGAAATTTAAAGTGATAAACTGGATATCTGATCTTGCGCTAGAAAAGAAGCCCAGTAATTTGGAGTTGGTTTGGTGTGGCTTTTCAAGTTGATTGCTCTGATCTGACTTATTACAGCATTTCTAACCATTGTGCATTAACACAAGCTTATGGAAAGAAAAATCTTGTATCAAAGTAAGTGGTAAAATATTGTTCGGTGTTTGAATCTGAGCTGCATAGCTGTGGGATTCATAATCTAACTCTTCTTGCATGTTACTGCAGTTGAGACTTGCATGGAAGCACTAATTACCTTCTCTCTCTTCTCCCTGATATGCACCAAGGCCGCCAGACAGATCAAAGATAGGTACGGTACAAAACCTTCTACAAAACTTCTTGCTTTTTAATTGTTAATCTTTTCACTGAACTCAAAAGTCCAGTCTTAAAGGGGCACAGTCAACTTCTTTCTGATACTCTTGTAAATATCCAAGAGTATCACAATTGAAAGATTATATACATTATTTGATGGCATTCCATATAGTCACTTTCCTACTCTCCCCTGTCTAGCTGGTTAACCTCTTCCTCCTTTTGTGAGAGTCTTTCACACATCAACAGGGGGAGAGAAATAGGTAACAACCCAGAAAGTGTGGTGAGACAAACAGGTGTAAAATTTGAAAACTGTTTTTAAATCTATTTTTATCAAGTTGACAGTTTCCCTTTAAATTCCTAAATATAGGATCCTGATTAAAAAAAGTTCTGCAGGCTTAATGCTCTGTTTTGAATGTGAGGGGATGCCTTGTAGCTAGAATCTTTTTCTAGCTAAGTTATTCTAATGTTTACAAAGAATGAATGTCTTTCTGGTGGTATCACCAGTGCTGATGCTAGTGGGTTTACTGCCTGAGTTAGTGATCTTTTGCCAAGGTGTTTCTCTCTGGATGTGAAGAGTCTTCAACATATACTTAAATCAACTTTTTAGAGTGGAAAACTTCTACTCTGCCAAGTATTTTATGGTGAAACAATGTTAAGGTAAGCACATCTTTCTTCTGGACCAGGACAATCTATTCAAAATGTGCCCAGCAAACTCAGGCATTTCAGTGGGTCTCCATAGAGAATGGAAGCACTTTTAAAGCTTTTAGACACAAGCTGTATACAGCATGTGGAAGACCAGCCCTTCCAAGAGTTTCCAGAATATGTTGCTTCCACTGACCCAGCAGGTTGGCTGTTGAGTCAAACATTTTCATGAGAACTAACAAGTCAGTTGCCAAAGAAAAAAAGCTAGTTTCGTGCTGGAATTCATGTCCAAGGTAAACTGTTGATTGCTATGGGAAACTAAGCTTTCTATCCCAGTCCAAGCAGAAATAGAGAACCCTTAATAGAAAAATTTAGAATGGTGGCGGCAGAAGTTTTGTTTAATGTGCTTCAGCTCTCTGAAAAGTAGCATGCCTCCTGTTATCCCTTCCAAGCTCATGAAGCTACTTTAGCAGCATTCAGCCAGTTTGAACAGTGAATCCCTATACAGCTGGCTGTGTTGGCCAGACGTGCAGAAGTTTCACAACTAGTTTGTAGTTACGGGGAGTTTCTGCTTGGACAATTTGTAACTAACAACCTTGAGTTGTCAATAATGTCAACCAAGCTGTTGCACTTTTGGGGCTTAGTCTGTTGGCTGAGCAGTGATAGCTGCGGGGCTGCTAGTGATGCATGCTGGAAAGTTGGTGATGGGAAAACTCAAGTCCTTCTGACTATGGCCTGGTCTACACTACGACTTTAATTCGGATTTAGCTGCGTTAATCCGAATTAACCCTTCACCCGTCCACACTACAGAGCCAGTTAATTCGAATTAAAGGGCACTTAAAATTGATTTCTGTACTCCACCTCGACGAGCGGAGTAGCGCCAAAATCGATTTTGTTAATTCGAATTAGGGTTAGTGTGGCCGCACACCACCGAATTACTGTGGTTAAATTAATGGGGTAGTGTGGCCGCACACCACCGAATTAATGTGGTTAAAAACCGAATTAATGTGCTTAGTGTGGCCGCGCACAATCGAATTTATACAACCTGTTTCCCAAATTCGAATGATCTAAATTCGGATTAATCCCGTAGTGTAGACATACCCTTAGTTGTGAGCTATAGGGCTACTGGTATTGGATATTGAGCTGCTTGTCAAAGTAAATCCTATTTAGACTCCTGGAACTCTTGGGTACTGCCACTTTGAACTAGTAGTTTTTAGGATACAGCAAACTGTAAAATTCTCTGCAGGAAATGCTAGTTTTTGTGAAACTTTTGAGGATGTGACAGTCAGGTGGAAAACTTAGAAAGAATGGAGGTCTAAAAATGGATAAGGTCAAGAAGTCAAAAAACTCAGAACCTAGATAACTGAGGCCGCCTCACCATCTGGACAAGACAGTTTAAGTACTCCAGTAGCAGGTGTATAATCCCTTTCATTCAGAGATTGAGAGGCCTCTGTCAGATTCTGAGATCGAACTATTTCACAGCTATCACAATCATGAATAATTTCATGGAGTTTAAAACTGATGGCTTGGAATTCTAAAATTCCATCTTTAGTTCTCTTATCCTCAATGTTTTATAATAACATGAATTCCTGAAGTATCAAATTGAAACTTTATTCTCAAATTTCTCTCCACTGTTTAGGAAGGTTGGCATAAATTAAGGTTACGAAAAATCACAAATCTGTTTAATTACATGTCTGAGGTTATTGGGGACTGGGTCAGAGTTGGAACTGATCTTGTAATAGCTCAAAATTTAGTAACCTTTTGAAATGGAATGTCTTCCAATTTTGATTCCTACTCTAACTATTTTGGGAAATTAAATGGCCACAGTGCGTCTGCTCTTTTCAGGGCCAACTACATTGTCCTTTTTTCCCCCGGCAACCTGTCATCCTCGGCACGGTTTGCTTTCTCAATCAAGTGTCTAAGATCTGTTACTACTTACTCTTCCCTCACTGTCTACACTGCTAAAACCCTTTTTTGTGCTTCATTCACTCACTATTGTAACTGTAGTTTCAGTAAGACCTTGGCTACACTCGGGACTTCCCAGCGCTGCCGCGGCAGCGCTGTGAAGTGCGAGTGTAGTCGCGCCGCCAGCGCTGCGAGAGCGCTCTCGCAGCGCTGTATGTACTCCACCTCTCCGAGGGGAATACCTTGCAGCGCTGCGAGCGAGTGTGCAGCGCTGCAGGCTCTGATTACACTGGCGCTTTACAGCGCTGCACTTGCTGCACTCGGGGGGGGGGGGTCGTTTTCACACCCCTGAGCACAGCAAGTTGCAGCACAGTACAGCGCCAGTGTAGCCAAGGCCTAAGACTATCTGTTTTCATGGGGTGGGTATGGGGATAAGTGTCCTTTGTAGCGGCACAAACAGCTCCTGCTCCCGTTTTTGCTACCGGCGTGCTGAAGTTGCAGGGGAGGGAGGGGCTTTTGCTGCCGGAGCGGCCCCAAGTGAGCGGCTCAATCCGGCGCGGCTGCCCTGTCAGCCGCTTTTGGGTCTTTAGATAGCCGTCCGGGGGGAAATCCCGGACATTTTTAGCTTTTTACAAATTCCTCCCGGACGGCTATTTAAAGACCCAAAAGCCGGACATGTCCGGGGAAACCCGGACGGATGGTAACCCTATCTTCTGTAATTGAGGAACAAGTTGTGTTCTACAGTGTTGGCAGCTAAAGCATTTCTAAATAATGGACAAATAAGTTGATACTTGAAATACTTTCTGAAATCTGAGCATCAGACTAAGGCCTTAATTCTTCAATGCCTTGTCTTTCATTTGGTCATGCTTCTAGTCACCCGGGCCTGATGAAATACATCCTAGAATACTCAAGGAACTGACTGAGGAGATATCTGAGTCCATTAGTGATTATCTTCAAAAAGTCATGGAAGATGAGAGAGATTCCAGAGGACTGGAAAAGGGGCAAATATAGTGCTCATTTATAGAAAGGAAATAAGGAGAACCCAGGGAATTACAGTCAGCTTAACTTCTGTACCCGGAAAGATAATGGAGCAAATAATTAAGCAATCACTTTGCAGACACACCTGATGGATAATAAGGTGATAAGTAACATCAGTATGGATTTGTCAAGAACAAATCATGTCAAACCAACCTAATAGCTTTCTTTGACAGGGTAACCAGCCTTGTGGATGGGTGGGGAAGTGATAGATGTATATCTTGACTTTAGTAAGGCTTTTTATAGCGTCTCACATAATCTTTGCATAAACAAACTAGGGAAATACAACCTAGATGAAATTACTATAAGGTGGGTGCATAACTGGTTGGAAAACCATTCCCAGAGAGTAGTTATCAGTGGTTCACAGTCAAGCTGGAAGGGAATACAAGTGTGGTCCCACAGGGATCAGCTCTGGGGCCAGTTCTGTTCAATATCTTCATCAGTGATTTAGATAATGGCATAGAGAGTACACTTACAAAGTTTGTGGACGATACCAAGCTGGGAGGGGTTGCAAGTGCTTTGGAGATAAGGATTAAAATTCAAAATCTGGAGAAATGGTCTGAAGTAAATAGGATGAAATTCAGTAAGGACAAATGCAAAGTGCTCTATGTAGGAAGGAACAATCAGTTGCATACATACAAAATGGAAAATGACCTCCTAGGAAGGAGTACTGCAGAAAAGGATTTGGGCGTCCTAATGGATCACAAGCTAAATGAGTCAACAGTGTAACATTGTTGCAAAAACTAGCAAACATCATACTGGGATGTATTGGCAGGAGTATTTTAAGCAAGACATGAGAAGTAATTCTTCCTCCCTGTGCTGATTAGGCCTCAACTGGAGTATTGTGTCCAGTTCTAGGCACCACATTTCAAGATGTGGACAAATTGGAGACAGTCCAGAGAAGAGCAACAAAAACGATTAAAGATCTGGAAAATATGACCTATGAAGGAAGATTTTGGGGGGGGGGGGGAAGGGGGTTTTTTTTAGTCTGGAGAAGAGAAGACTGAGAGGGGACATAAGTTTTCAAGTACATAAAAGGTTATTACAAGGAGGAGGGAGAAAAATTATTGTTCTTAACCTCTGAGGATAGGACAAGAAGCAATGAGCTCAAATTGCAGCAAGGGCGGTTTAGGTTGGACGTCACGGAAAAACTTTCTGTCGGGGTGGCTAAGCACTGGAATAAATTGCCTAGGAAGGTTGTGGAATCTGTCTACCTGCTCTTAATCTCTAATGATAAACACCTGTCAGGGATGGTTTAGATAATACTTAGTCTTGCTATGAGTTCAGGGGACCAGACAAGATGACCTCCTGAGGTCCCTTCCAGTCCTATGATCCTAGGCTTGTGCAAAGTGGCTGTAAAATGTTACCAAATCAGAATTTTTCACTTTCAGTGGCTAGTGTTACTCTGTCTGCACAGGTTTAAATGAATACCCAAAGCATGGGAGAATCAGGCCTGAAGTCTTTTTAGTAACTTCTAGGTTGTCTTACATGGACTCAGTGTCGCAGATCAAGTGAGAGGGAGGCACTTGCAACTAACACCAGATCTTTTGAGAGATTCTCACAGCAGTGAAACACTTCTTTTAACTTAAACTTCAGAAAACTGGTTGTAAACACCACTTTAAAATGTGGGAGCTGATTTTTCATATATAAGGGAAGAACAGCACACTCAAACCTGTAGCAACTTCTGAAGTGAATTATAAAGAATCACATGGTTTTGACACCTCAAAAGTTAACTTCCTGAGTATAGAATTTCCAAAATATGAACCACATTTTCCTAATCAGCCTTTCTTTCCTGTAGAGTCACAATGGCTTCAGCATTCCGCATCTCTTTGAAACCAAAGGTCAGTGATAACATGACTCATTTGATGGTGGACTTCTCTCAGGAAAGGCAGATGCTCCAGGCTTTAAAGTTTTTGCCAGGTAAAACTAAGTCCTATAGTGAATTGAATGTTTATACTATAAGATATCTGGGATAAACAGTAGTTTAATTCATGCATTTTAATATGTGGATTTTTTTCAGCTACCTTGAGCAGTTTCTTCAGCATTTACTAAAGCTTTATATGTCTTGGCAAATATCAGATCTATAACATCTACTTCATAAAGATGGTAGCACACATATAGACCTTTTATACAGTAGTAGGGCCAGTCAACAAAGGTGGGGATGGAACTTGTTCTTTGCTCCCAGACCTGTACTTGTTCCTTTGCCATCATAGGTAATTGCCTAAGATCATACATGCACTGGCAAGGTGTCAAGTGTTTAACATATTCACAAGCTGAGTCTTGTCTGACATGTTACTACTTCATTCAGTTCACAAGATGCCAGGGATATAAGTGCAGAGGCAAGAGTGTTTGAGTTCCTTTGACTTCCATTCTATACTTCCTTTCAAAATATGATCTGATCTTTGAATTTCCTGGATTAGATGTTAGATTCTCAAAGGCAACAGTCCACTAAACTTTAAATTGCTGATATTTACAGCCTGAGCTCCAACTTAAGGAAGACTTTCCTTTGGTGTGGGAATTAATAACCTCAGCACTGTTTCCAGAGCTATTAAGCCTCCTGCTGGCAGTCATGGTCACTTTCACTGTATGATGAGAGGTAATCTTGGTCCTGTGCGTAGTGTGTTGTCTCAAATCACTATCATGATGCTTAATTGGCAACTCATGATGAGCTGTGCTGAAATTACCATTCAGTCCTTAGACTCTGGATGAAAATGGCAACTCAGTTATCCTCTTACCCTTTCTAGATAAGGGAGGAAGCTTGAAATGCTGCTTGTATACTGTACTTGTTATGTGGGGCGACAAATGGAGGACTTGAGTGACCAGTGCTGTCAGTGAAAACATTTGTAGGTACTAAAGCCAAAAAAAATTACATTCCTTAAACTGGAAAAATTTTCAGTTAACCCTTGTTATGCAGCCAGTTTCAACATAATTTTGGTTAGCTACATACTTGCTCATGCAAGATAATCCAGCACTTGGCATTTAAATATGGAAAGATCAACTGTAAGGATATCACTGAATTTTTTTTTTCCTTCTTTCTAGTGGATAGCTTGTAACAATTTGGTACAGAGCTCTGTCACTACTTATAGCAGCACAGATTCTTGCAGGCAAAACTTAAACTGGGTGTTGATTCAGACAGTTTGAAATCCCAAACTTGGTGAGGTGGTGATATCTAGGCATTTATATAATGCTCATCACAATGGTATTGGTACCTTACAACTTCTAAAACACATGAACTTCTAAACACATGAAAGAATCTCATCTTTCTATCTGGCATATAATAAAATGCCAAAAATAATGGGTAGCAGTAGGTGCTTCAAAAATTGCTGGGATGGCCTCTGTATGATAGATGTCTTAGTATTTCTCTCAAAATCTTAACCTGTTGTTGGCTGACTTCTATAATCTTCTCTCCAAATACTACTATATTTCTCTTTAAACCAGTTAGAATTGTTTTTGTGATTCTCTAAAACTTTTAGCTTACCACTTTCATAAACCTTTGTTCTCAATCCCTATACAACTTGGCAATTCCCAAATGTTTTGTAAACCATGTGCCCTGCTGGAACATCAAGTTTTATGACTACAACTTGTCCTGTGTTCTATTCAAATAAACCTTGTGAGAAGTGAAAAGCATTTACACTTAAGTTGTGCTATTTAAAAATGTTCAGTAACTCTTCAACATAGCATGCTTGGGAGGCTGGCTGCGTGGGATAGGTACATAGACTGAAGAAGACTTTCTGCTTCTGCTGGGAAGGCTAATAAACAAAGTGGAGGGCACCATATCTCCTCTTGGCAAGCTATAAATGTGCAACTCTCTGGCTTAACGCTACCTGCGTTTCATGCTATGAGAACTGAGCTGGAGTGAGTATTTTGTACACTCACAAACCTTCTTGTTTTGTAACTTCAAGTGGAATATCATCCCTTTTTCTTTCCCCCCCCTCATGCTCTGACTAGGGTCCATTTGCATAAAGAGAAACTGTACAATAAAAGCAAGACTAAGCTTTTCAAAGATTTCTGTGAGATGTCTGGTCTTCAATGCAAATTAAAATTTTAGGTAATTCTTTTTACCACTCCCACATGTTTCATGCACTTTGACACACCTGCTGGGATCATTGAATTATAACTTGCACTCTTCTACTGAAGTGTGCTTCGCTGTTTAAACATGCTGCAATTTAAGCTGTACTACTATATCAGTAAAAAGAATTGTTTGCTTCAGTGATGAACAGATTTAATAAATTCCCCAATAAATAGTCTTTTGTCTCTCTTCAGTGGTGGTGTCTGTCCCTATGACTGACCTTCATTTGGGATATATGGAACAAGTACACTGAACCGGAGACCGGCATAGTGATTAAATAACCAAGTGTTCAGCTCTAAAAAGTGACAGAAAATGGCACCACCTTACTTGGTAAATGTGCTACTGTTGTGTATTCAGATGGGGAAAACTTCCTGTTAGAAATCAAAACCAACCTAATGGTACTGAATGTTTGTCACTATGAAGTATTTACATGAATATAATTTACATGCCTTTTGATATTAAAAACATTAGGCTTCTAACTTCAGCATCTTCAAAAGCTGAAAAAGAATTAATATAAAAGTTCTTATGCTTATCTGCGGATGCTTTTGCAATTTTTCTATCTAGAACCTAAAGGGAATAGGTAGTCAGTGATGACTGGAGAGGAGCATGGCTAGTAGGTAGAATTAAACACATCGGGGAAGTCTAACTTTTAAATGACCAGGATGTGTGTCAAGCCAGGCCAGTGTGACCACACATGGTGCTAATGCTTTCAGACTGCTTTTTTCAGAACACCTATTGCGAGACCAAACAAGTTGGGTAAGTAGTGGGATCTGAGGTCCGATCCTAATTAGTAGACTGAATACTTGCTGGTCATCTTGCCTGAATTTGCAACCTGTTCATTTTGGGCAATGTGCCCTCTGAGGATTAAATATACTTAAGTAATTTATATGCATAGGGTTTCATTTAACAAAACCCAGTGAGGTATTTATATGAAGGGGAGAAATCCTAACCCTGTACTTGCTGGCTTGAATGACAAAGTTCTTACTGCTTGGTAGTCATCCTCACTCTGCAGAGCTGATAGTTAAAAGTGAGCTAAAAATTTCTACTGCATCCTGTGCATCAACAGAACTGCTTACCAAGTTTCAATTGGCTACATCTATGAAAACCCAGTGAAAAGCAGCAGTGTTACAGATGTAACTTAAGTCTCAATTTGAAGACCATAGTTCTTCAAGATTTAATTACGGGTCTAAGTTAGGCTGCAGAATGTCTGTTGGTGGTGATGCATGACATGGAAAGAACCAGCTTGAATCAGAACTCAGACTATTTACAGGGCTGATCGTTGGGGGGATGAGGGGATCACCTACTGTAAATGGAATGTACTTCCACAGAAATAGAGGTCTAAATATGAAACTCCATTAATGCATTTTTATGTGACTTGTCAGAGGAATAGCTTGCTGCAAAGTGGCAGGCCTCAGGGGAATAAAATACCTAATGGGTTGTGAGCAAGCATACTTCAAAAACTATTTTCAGGACCCTTTTGAAAACTGCAGAAATTGTTTGAGTATTAGGTAGAGAATATTTTTTTTTCTTTCTAGGCAAAAACAGATTCTTGAACAAGAAACACATGGATACTTCTTTCCTTTCCTGTCAATGTAAATTTGACTCCTAAACTTCTTGGTTTCAGCTTACTCATGAAATAAGGTTTTGGTCATGGACTCCAGCTGTAATTGGCTACTTACTTTTTTGCTTGCTTTGTGCATTGTTTTACGTTCAGAAAGAAACCTATGAAATTCCATTTGATTAAAATGGACCACTGGTAAGGTGGTTTGTTTTTTGTTTTAAGGTTTTAAATCCTACTTTGTCTGCTATCCATTAGTATATTACTATCTGTCATGCACCCAACTTCTGATGCTGCCTCTTTCCTGCTCCACGCATGATGTGCGCCTCGGATGTTAATATTTGGGGATTAGATGGGGAAAGAGAAATATAGTGAAATTGATTCAAGTTGTAGAATGGGCCCTGATGCGTTTCTTGGGTAGCTGGTGTCATGAGGTGCCGAGGTTCTGCAATATGACCCGGTATCACACTGGGAGTAAGAAGTGAGTTTTGTTTCTAGTGTAAGGTTAATCCAAAACTTAATGCAGTAGGGCTTAGTAAAGGAAGTTGAATTTTTTTAATATGGTACTTGAAGTACCTGAGATCATCTTATGTCAACTGATTTCAGAGAGATTAGAGGATTTGGAGGATAACAAAATAAAAACACAGTAATTTGAGTAAACCTAAATTATGATTATTGGAAACATACTTTCCTCAGTGTCCTGGCGGTGAGAAGCTAGTTTGCTTTTTAGCTCTTATCCTTTTGCTTGTATTTTGCTAGAAAATACACTACAGAAAATAAACCATAAAAACACAAGTCTGCTAATGTTTTGATACAAGTTGTATATCTACACACACACACACACTACATTTACTCATTAGTAAATGCTTTGTGTTCAGGGCACTGTAGTATCTGTATGTACCTTGTTTTCTCTGGAAATGTTATGTTGTAAATCTGTGTAGTGGTGCTTGTATCCAAATATTATAAACCAACCTTTTTCTAAAGTGATGGAAGCATGCTCTTGCTGCATGATCCTATATCAGGGCTCTAGCTCTGAGTGCTCTGTAAAAAGATCTGTCTGAAAGAGCCTTAAGACAATTTAACCTCCTTAAAATGTTCTTCCTGCTTGATTATTCCAACCATGGAACCACAATTGCCAGTCCCCACCAGCTCTGTTTGCTTGTTACTGTTTATACAAGGAGGTCAGCCTGACCTGTACTGTCAGAAAAACAAAGACAAGAACAGTAGAATCCTAGAGCTAATGCGTATTTGTTAGCAAAATGCTAATTTTGTGTTTAATATAGTCACTTAACAGACAGAGTATTAAATAGAATATCAGTCTATTGCTCTTTAAGTTCCAATTTGTAGATAGAGTAAAATCCCTGAAAAGAATGAGTGCTACTGAACCAAAGGCAATTTCTGATTCTCTTATGTAGATCCAAAGGAACAGACTGCAACACTGGGGTGGCAAACACTTCTTTTCATCAGTAGTCTAATGTTCTTTTGCTTTGTTTGTTTTGCAGTCCCCAAAGCTCCAGAGATAGACCCAGTAGAGTGTCTGGTAGCTGACAACGCTGTAACGATAGTATGGAGAATGCCAGAAGAAGACAACAAAATTGATCATTTTGTATTGGAATATAGGAAAACTAATTTTGATGGGCTTCCTCGAGTAAAAGATGAAACATGCTGGGAGCTGATAGACTATATTAAGGGCACTGAATATACATTATCTGGTAAAGATTGCTCGTTTACCCTCTTAAAGTCTTCTGCTCTTGAGGTGACTCTGAACAAACACTGGGGTTTTTTTGTATGTAACAGAATCCTATTAGAGACAAGGTGGGTGAGATCACTTCTTTTGGTGAAAGACAAGCTTTTGAGCTTACACCAAGCTGCTGTTCATGTCTGGGACCAACATGGCTACAACAACACTGCAAACATAGAATGCTCAACTATACAAAACACTTGCTGTTGACGGGGCATCCTTATTACAAACACAAATGTTACTCAGTAAATGAATGTAGCCTCCAGATAACTGGTCAGTTACAGGGCCTTCCTATAGAGACCTGGGTCACCTTGTTATTAGCTACTAGTCCTCCTCATTCTATGCTAAATAAACTTTCCTCTTATTTGCTTAATCTAGAATATATGGAACTAATCACTATCATTATGACAAACTTTAAGTGCTTCAAATTTTTTTTTTCAGGACTGAAGTTTGATTCAAAATATATGAACTTTCGGGTAAGAGCTTGCAACAAGGCTGTGGCAGGGGAATACTCTGATCCAGTGACTTTGGAGACTAAAGGTAAAATGACATGGCAGCCTTGCATGAATGTGTAGAAAACAATATTGTAAACACTGAGGAGAATTTAGCACTCTCTAGCCAGTCTAATGGCAACAGAGAAAGAGGCAATGAAAACTTGGGTTCGAGGTTTGTGGGATGAAATTCAAATGTCATCTGTTAGTGAGCCTACATGGAAAAGGATTAAGTTAGGCTGCCTTGTCCTATTACTCTACTGTACATAAACGTCTAGCTCTATTAGAAGTTGAAAAATCTCTGTAGGTATGTAACCGTTCCTGGCTCCGATATCTGAGATTGTCTACTGAAACTGCTGGTCAGGTTTCTGAAGTATTGGTTGTTATTATTGCAGTTAATTTAACTTTTCTGAGGAAAGATTTTGCTATTACCTGGAGCTGCTTGATGTGAGGGCAGAGCTTGACGGAATGCTCCTGAGCACTTTGGCACTATATACCTGTTCACATAACTTGAACGTAGGTGACAGCCTATTTGTTAACATTTGAGGATTGCTGTGGGAGGGGAGGGCACAGATATCTGAGGAGTCAGTCTTGTGGATCCGTATAGTGAACAACTTGAACTGCAGAAATCCTCTCAGAAAATAAAAGAATACCCATATAGCCTATAGCACTTCCCAAGAATTTCAATTTTTGGATTACCAAGTGAAGCTGTCTTGGGTAAGTACATGACCACTGAAAGGTAGCTTAGAAAGCAGGTATACTTATTATGCTTTAAATCCCAACATTGCACATAGTCACTCAATACTGGATACTAATCTGTAGGCTATAAATTTTTAGATGGCAAATAAGTTAGAGTATATATACACTATTTTCCTTATTAAGCTGTGGTCAGTGACTGTGTTTTTTGTAAGTGACACTTTTTTTTTTTTAAGTCCGTAGATTGCTATGTGGATTCAGAGTTGTAACTGGGGGGGGAGGGTGTTCTCATTGAGACACAACATAAAACCCCACACTTTATTTTGAAAAGTGAATAAACATCAATCACAGTTGAAAGTGTACTTTCTATATAGTATATCCCATCAAAAAAACAAATACTGAAATTTGAGATCTTTCTTTTGTTTCTGCCTTTTAAGGGCCATATTCTGAACATACTCATCCTGTTGATCTAGAGTAACTTACTGCTCTTCAGAGCACCAAGTGATGCTTATAGAGTTGGGGGATATGGTTGGTGGCGGTCTGTCTGACCAGAATGTTTCAACACAACTTCAGAACATCACTACTATTTTTGGGTTGTAGGACAGCAACGAACAAGACAGTGCGCTATATTAATGGGAGGGCAGCTTTTCTGGACCAGAGCCACCATGGCCAACACTCTTACAAAAAGGGCAATTAGATACCTAATGTCAATGCAGAATAGACAAGGTTCCAGTTCTGAAGGAACTGAAACCACATTAGTGTCATCTGCTTTGGAAAAATAGAAGGCTAAGTCAGAGAGGATTTGAAACTCCGGTTCCAGAGAGATGAGGGATTTTAAGCTTAGACCTCGCTCACTAAGCTGTCACCTCTGACCCTGTCATTTTAAAATATTTCTGGAGCCATATGTCCTTTCAGGAAAGTCATGTGTTCTTTTCCCCTCCCCCCTTTTTTGATTTTTAAAAATCAATCTTCAGTTCCAATATTGTGCTGTCAGTTTTCCAGACTGCAGTTTGTGTCACTTACAGTTGACACTGAAGATTTAACTTTTTAGATTGCATGTGTGTTTTTGTCGGTGTGCTACTTTTTTTTGGCGGGGGCGGGGGGTGTCTTTGAGGGTTTGTCACATCCTCCAGTCTACTTAAATCTAGCTCTTTCTGGAAACTTCAAGGAATTTATTGCTAGACCTACAATGTTTTGTAGAGAAGAGTTTCAAAGTACCTTTTCAGGAACTTCATAGATGTAATTAAGGTGCTTGGTTTTTATACTGAGGAGTTCTAAAAACAATGACTGAGTAGATGTTTTTTATTCTGTTAGACTTACTACTTATTGAAAACCAAAAAGATCAAACTGATGGGTGTTCTAGTTTGACATTTTGGCTGGCTTACCAACCTTTCACTTTGCTGTTTGTCACACTTAAGCATTAAATTGAGGTCCGACAATAAAAACAATGCCTTTAAATATGGTCTGCATTCAAAAAGAAACTAGCTGTATCGGCTTGTGCTTCCTAAACATTTTTTGGAACCTACACCAAATCCCAGAGATCACTGATGGATCTTGAGCCTATGCTCTTATAGCAGTACCTCACTTACTGCCTTAGATAATCTATATAAAGGGCTGTTTCACTACTACTATGTAAACTTCAAGAGAAACATCTGAAAATTGCTTCCGCTTTGTTTTAGGACTTAATCAGATACAATAGTAATAATCTTTACAAGAATTTGCTGCAACATAGTGGATATCCTGGAGGGCGGGGGGCTAATAAATTTAGAAAAATTGGCTAATTCCATTTTGCTTCTGGTAAGTGCTGCTTCATGATGGACCGCTGCATTTGAAATGTATTGTACTGTCTTTAAATTGACCACTACTGCAATCTCCACTCTTAAAGCAATTATTTTAAAAAATAGGCATATTGAAATGCAAAATTGAAGTCTCTAATGTGTTCTAATTAAGTAATACCTATTAATATGGCAATCACTATTAGGTAGGCTCCTTGCTTCAGAAGCATAACTCCCAAGAGGCTCAATTATTTTGCTTAGTCAGCAATAACAAAGATGGAACTTGCTTAAATAACAAATTCCAGTGAGATGTTGGATTCAAAGTACTAGCATAATTTTTTATCTTGGTTTTATATTGGGTATGGTGGGCCTCTGATCTCAATCTGCATATTACAGTGGTTCAAGCTTGTGAATTGTGGACCTCTTGATCTTAAACACTTCTCCCTGCAGTAAATATAGTACTTGGTAATAGCAGAACAGTATTCAGAGGAGAGGTGAAAATCCGCTCTCTAAAATGATGGCTGCAGCTGGTTGGCATGTCTACTCTACTCTGTGCTGTCTGTTTTTCTCTCCCTGGGTGAAGGATTTGACAGTAATTGCTACTGAATCTTCATTAGTTGCTTGCATCCTAATGCCTGCTTTAATCTCTGCAGGTCATTTTGCTGTTCGACTGTCCCTATGTATTTGCTGTTCCTTCAGCTTTATTGTAATCAACAGGTTATGACAGTTAAATCTTCATCACAGAAATAGCTTGCAGAAGACCGTGATATGGAGAGCAGAAGATGGGCTTAGTTTTTTGTCACTCTCTCTCAAACTATAAATCTTGGCATAGGTTGCAACTAGTAGGAAGTATCTCTGATTTAATATTAAAATTTTAATTGCGGAGACTCTGATTTGAAGGTGTTCTGTGTGGTATGGTCCAGAGACTACAGTTGGACTGGCTGTATTTCACTTGTTTATAGTAAATGTCAGACCAACTATAATTAATGTTACATTTTAGTCATGGGTATTTTTAGTAAAAGTCATGGACAGGTCATGGGCAGTAAACAAAAATTCATGGCCTGTGACCTGTACATGAATTTTATTATATACCCCTGACTAAAATTTGGGGGTTTGGGGGGCAGGGGTTGCCACAGGGGAGAGGGGGGCGGGGCAGTGCAGCTGGGGCAGGCTCCCTACCCAGCTCTTGGGAAGCAGTGACCCTAGCTCCATATGCTGCCTCCTCTCCACCCCAGCCTCAGTTCTGCAGCTCCCATTGGCTGGGAACTGCAGCCAATGGGAGCTGCAGAGGCAGCACATGGACCTACGAGCTGAGGGAGGGAAGTTCCTGTCGCCCTTCTGGGGAGC